AAGCGGCACCGGCTATCTGGCATTACTGAACGATAAGCGACTGTAAACAGTGTGATTTAGACCTAAATGCTTTCAGCCAATCGTACAGCTTTAGCTAAGGTATACGTAGTTTTATAGGCCTAGGCTTGCTTACTCGAAGAAATAAACGCTTTTGACGAGCTCTTCGGTTATTTATTGAACTACATGACTCGACGCTGATTATATTAACATACGGTTATTCCGGCCAAATAGGGGTTACGAAAAAATTCGTCAAAAATTCAATTCTAAGTTGCCCCAAAATTTTATTTGATCAATAGCAAGCGAAAACATATTTCTTTGATCTGGTTATGAATTTTTTGTCTGAATCGATGTAACAATGGAGATATTCGCTGCCTAATATGGCATATAATAAAGAGGTTCGAAAATAATAAACATTAAGAAAATCTGTAAAATATTCACTTTTTACAGAAATGTCTCTAAATTTCGTCTGCTACTCAATAAATAACTCTAATTTATAAAACGAAATCATATTTCGTGAAATATTCCCATTAACGTGCAAAATAGAGCGATTTTGGTAGTGCCGTAAAATGACTTCTAAAAACCGAAAGTGGCCTGGGAAAACCAATTTCGACGTCTCTCTCCTTCAATATTTATCCGATCGAAATAAAACTTTCACAACATTAATACTTCATATAGGCCTACATTCTGACAAAGTTTGAAAGATTTTGAATTTTCTCATTTTACACGTCTTACCTGACTATTACAGACAACCGCTCTTAAGGTCTTTCAATACGGGAGTAATGTGATCGTATTTACGAGTTCCCGTCACAATGCGTGCAGCGAAATTCTGTGCAGTCTGTAGCTTTTTTAGATTTTTCTCTGCAGTATTAGACCATACAGACGAACAGTAAAACATTTTACTAAAGACTAAAGTGTTAATTATTGTAATAAGTGTTTTCCTATCAAATGCATGCTTCACGCGATTTATCTGACCTAAAATCGACATGCACGAAGATACATTTTTTATAGTATGCTCATCAAAACTAAAGGTCTGGTCAAAGGTTACACCCAGGTCCTTTACATGCAATGAAGGTTGTATATCTTTTCCTAACAATGTTACACGAAAATCAGATAGTTTGGATAGCATTTGTCGGCTGCCATAGACCATTAATTTTATCTTCTTTGGATTCAAGAGTAGACAATTTTCAAAACACCAGTTACGTATTCGAACTAGATCGTCGTTAATTTCAATCATTGCCTTGGTACTATCGTGTATTGGAAATGAGATATAGAGTTTACTGTCGTCTACATAGCAGTCGGGTGTGCAGGACCTCGGAACAAGTGGTAGATCATTGACATAAATATTGAACAAGATTGGGCCAAGGATATTGCCCTGTGGGACTCCGCTTGTAACTAGCAAAGGATCTGATAAGGTTGAAGTTATGCATACCACTTGATATCGATTTGACAGGTAGCTACTGAACCATGACAATCCAGAAGGTGATATACCAATGTCCCGCAATTTATTTAATAATGTTTGGTGATTTGCTAAAGTCTAACAATACAACTGCAGTTAATTTCTTACTGTCAATTGCTGTTAGAATTTCATCAGTAACTTTTATCAGAGATGTTTCGGTAGAATGGTCTTTTTTGTTTCCGCTTTGCTTCGTAGAAAGTTTCCCATTTAAAACTAAATAAGGCATCAACTGATTCAATGCTGATCGTTCACATATCTTTGATAATACAGGTAGAAGTGAGATGGGACGGTTGTTCTCTGCTTCTTCGTGATCGCCTTCCTTTAAGACGGGCAAAACCTCAGCCTTCTTCCAAGTACTTGGAAACTGGCATGTAGAATATAAAGACGCATTGACGATTGAGGTGATAGGTAAAAGGATTGCAGGGAGGCTATCTTTAATCACGCGTATAGGTATTTTATCATGGCCAGGTGCCTTATTCATTGGCATTGAGCGAATAACATTCTCGATTTCTCCGCTGCTCATCGGCTTAAAGAAAAATTGTTCATCATCTGGGTATTCTTGAGTGGGGACTGCTGGTTGTGTTAAGTCATAATTAGATTGAGCGGCCTTGGAATTTATTTGTTCAGAAGTTATTTGGCCAAGAGTCGTAAAATAAGTGTTAAACTCATTTGCAATGATCTTTTCATCTCTATTATAGGACTTCTGTCGCGTGGTTTGTTTTGGGATACAAGATCGTATTGTTTTCCAAATACTTCTTTTGTTGTTGGGATTACTCATTATTTGTTCCATGACATGCTCTTGTTCGGCTAATCTAATTTCTCGCCTCACTTCCTTCTTAAAATTTCTATAAGCCGCCCAAGCTAAGGTGTCATTTGTTTGTCTAGCCAATTTCCTCCAGTGGTCTCTAGTTTTCATGAGACAGCAAATTTCTTCAGTTATAAACGGGTTTTGTCGACTTCTTACTTTAACTTTTTTGATAGGAGCATGCAAGTCCAAGATATTATTCAATATCAGGTTAAATGCATTAAGCTTGTCGTCTATATCATCAAAAACATTTATAACCGACCAAGGTGCGTACGACATATCTTGAGAAAACGAATTGGGATTATATTGTCGAAAGCTTCTGGTGTTAACATAAACAGGCTTTTGACGTTCTTTCTTTAACTTCAGGGTGGCATATACTAAGTCATGATCGCTTATTGAAATTGGTACCACATTAGATGCAATTATAAGCTCTTTGTTCGAAACGAGTATAACATCTAACAAAGTCGCTGAGGACTCTGTTATTCTCGTAGGTTGGGTTATTAGTTGGGCCAAGTTAAAAGTAGAGCAGAAATTCAATAAAGCTTGGCATGCAGGATCACCAGCGTTTAAGACATTACAGTTTAAATCTCCCAATATGTATATTGATTTACTCATCAGCAAGGCGGATACTAGGGTGCAACTAAAATCCGTTTCAAACCAATTTAAGAGAGCATTTGGTGGTCTATAGGCAGTACAGATTAAAAAGGATCGTAAATTTCCAACCTTCTCCTCGCTTCTTCAGGACTTGTGTTTGGGCCAGGGTTTGGTGAAATATCCCCACTAACCATCAATCGCATTAACTGAAAGCTGGATGTTGCATTTGGATAACGCTTAATTCTGGCTGAGAAGAATCCCTTGCCATAGATCTTGACTGAACCAACATAGCGGCTAAATTTGTAAGATGAAGGTGAAACCCAAAGACAGCCAACATTTTCTTCAGAAACAATAAGAGTTTTGCCAAATGTAAACAGTGAAGGTTTACACAGTTTTAACTGAGAATTATAATAGTCGTTTTTCTCAAACCCAACTATTAAATAATATAAAATAAACTGCAATATTAGAGCGCAGCTTTTGCCACGTCTGCACTGCATAATGATATGCTTCATACTGTTGTTCTAACAGCAATTAGGCTTTGAGAAGCCATGTATATTATAGATTAATTTGTAGCCCAGCCTCCATAGTCCATATAAATTGTAGCCCAACCACCATTTACATCAATAATGAAATTAACTAGTAACTGAATTTTGTTGCTGATAGTGTATGGGATGTATGGGTCTAATTTTAGATCACAGAATTGCCTAATTATTGTAAACGGTCTGCATAAAGCAGAAAAAGACTCTGTTTTTATCAATGACCGGTGCCTATTGAGTGACCAAATATTGTCAGCCTAATCCACTTATTTGATTTATCCATGTTGCATTGCTTTTGATTGCAAAACACCTGGATAACTTACATGATTTGCCAGCAAAATAGCAGCAATTGATAAACTTGAGTACATAGACTGAATGTATCAAACATAATGCATGTTGGCGATTTAATGCAATTTTAAGCGATTTTAGGCGATTTAAGAGAAATTTGACAATTTTAACCCGCGATTTTGGGCGATTTTCCGCCCCAGAGTAGGCCTAGCCAATCAGACTCAATGTCGACGTGATGTTAGGAAATTGTGTCTACTGGAGAAATCCGAATCGAAGTAAACGGGACTATAAGTAAACGGGACTAAAGAAACTCTATTATGAACAGTTTATATATGTTGTTGATGTTAACTTTATTTGTTCAATCTTACTTTATCGGACAAGCTTGGTGATGACGTTGTTTTGGAAGTCGTGAAAAGTACGACAATTGAAATAAGAGAAAACTTTATACTTACGCAAGTGAAGATTGGTAATCGATAGTACTGTGGATCTCGATCATTTTTGATAATTTTTGAACGACAGTATAGTAGGTCGTTCGGGCCTGGTATATAAATTCGAGACGGTAATTACGGTAATTTATGATAATTTATTTAAATGCCCGGATGAGTTAGGGGCAGTTGTTTTTATTCCATGTGCTTGGTCATATACATATAGTGGCCTAAATACGAGGTAAAACATTTGATTTCTGACCTTTTTGCTTGGAATAGGTATAGATTGTGACGAACCTTTATTGTTTATTTTAGAACTATCATTGTTTATCGATTTTATATCATTCGTTCATTGATTCGTTCATTGACATTAGTAGCTAATATAGACCGGTCCTAGCTCATTTTGGTTAATACTTCATGTAAGACAAATTATAGTGTCCCCGGGCAAGCTCGGGCACGCCTGGAATCTCATTCCCGGAATTCCGCCTTCCCGGAATAGAATCGATGACGTCACTTCCGGTTACCCAATTCCCCGCGCCGCCCCAGGGGTCTTCTGCCTGCCGGACACCTCCCCCCGTCCTCGCGCATCCGTGGTCGCGACCGCGCAAGCACGCAAGTGCGCACGCAAGTGCGCACGCACATGCTCTGACAATTTTGTCGCAAATCCTCGTGGGTGTTGACCCGATGAATTTAGTCCTCCGCAGGCCCACCGCACCCGCCGCGTCCCGCACGCTTGTTGGGGTTTTGGTGGAGGAAAGTGGTTTAAAGGGAAAAGTTTGTGTATAATAAAAGGAAGCATGTCAATTACCAGAGCAACAGACTTCTCCGAGGACTCGTTTAGATTTGTGGACCCTGTCAAGGACAGGTTTGGATCTGAGAGGATCGGGCTTGTTGCGGAGGGCGGTGGTCCACTGCTACTTAGGCTGGAGAATTGCCTAGCCTATGGAATCAACAGGAACAATAGGTTCGGAAAGGACAACTATACAATTCCGTTGGCAGTTGGACTACACACGGAATTCATATCAGCTCTGGAAGTATTGGAGAAGAAGTGTGCTGTAATGG